ATCTAAGTGTAATACGTAATTATGCTTCAAAAAAATAAACTGAGAAGTCTGAACGATTGCTTAAAATTCAAGAGATCTTAATGCCCAAATGGTTTAATTATTAAACAAGTCTTCTCTTTTAGTGCATGACATTGGCGAAATTTCAAAGAAGCATAGAGTAGGCTTAATGCCATCTGTCTTAACCTATAATGCCAACATATAACCAGGGAGCAGCGTGGTGGCGTCTTAAAAATTTAATGACTTAGCGTCAACCAAATGTGGTAAAACAACTGCCTCCTAAAATAGACACATTACAAGGAATTTGCGACATGATAATTTGCATTTATACTAATTTGCATTTAACTTTCAGCATACAACAGCCTTCAACTTTTACTACTAAATACATTATAGTAATTATACAAAATCTGAAAATGCCGTTTCCCTAGACCTTGCCCATATACTGTTTGCCATGCAACCTCTGGGTCAATAGAACGGCCGTTTCCCAACGTTTTAATGATCGAATTACTTACCTTAGGTATTTCTACGTTCGGCCAACTGATTGTGAACAAATGTATATTTTTTTATAAGCCTTCGTATTGTTCAAGTTCCTGATAAGACTGATAATATTGTTTAAAGTGATTGCAGTGAAAATCCCAGCCGTACAGAAAAGTTTATACACAAATACGAAAGACATTATCTTTAACAATATTTTTTGGTATATTACACGTCAATTCATCAACTACCTGAATCGAAATATTCGAATCAATGTGAGCGATTTTATAAGTTCGTTGACAGAACACGGACAAAACTACCGATCTAAAGGTGGGCAAACAGTAGGCAAGGTCTGGGGCAACGGCATTTTTATAGGTTTTGTATATTTACTATATGTATTTATTAGTAAATGTTGAAGGCCATTATGCTGAAGTTTAATGCTAATTAGTATAAATGCAAATTATCATGTAGCAAATTTCTGGTAATGAAACACTTCTCGACGTTTCGACCTGAGAGCCTTTGTCAGGAGAGTTAGTTTAGACTCACCGAACATATCATACTAAAGTAAGCGAATAATAATATAATTTCTAACATCAATATACTTATATTACATTTCAGACCGATTCAGTGTAATCATCAATAGTATATAATATATACTGAGAGATAATTTTTGACAGAAAATGAACTTTCGTAAATAATTATATTAATCAACTATGCGAATTACTTACCATTGCATTTCCTATTTAAAAAGCTATATAGGTTACGTTTTTCATATAGCGTTGTGGCCGTTTTTAACGGACAGTGAAGTAATACGATTACGTCTGTTTAATTCAACATTCATGTAATTCTCAGAAGAGTCAATATTCAATCACTATAAGTCAAATATTGAGCTGAAAGGATTGTGCATGTGATTGCATGGCATGTATTGAAGACAATGCTTAATTGGGAGTATGTTTAAAATGATAGAAAAAGAATATAAAATTATGTTAAATTTGTCGCCCTATGACTTCCACAAAGCTTATTTCATTAACTTTTGGAACATTTTGATCTGAACTGAAGCATCTGTCTTTGTGGTGTAGGATTTCAGTTTGTTAGGCCACTTTCCATGCGTAGGTAAACGGTATATCCTGAATTGTTTGAACTCGTTTCTTAGGGAAAATTAAGGTACACGGACGAAAGATTTCGCAGAAAAAATGGTTTGTACGGAAAGAACTTCCTTAATGTTTTTATGGATAAGGACGAAATCTTTCAATCCCGTGTTCTGAGTCTGAAAATTACGAGATCTTTTCACGTCAGTGTTGGTAAATATATATAATTTTTAATTTGGTGTACCTTTTAAGCTCAATAGAACGGCAACGCGACAACAGTCGCTAGAGCCGATTTTAAAAGGGTGAATTGAACTATCGCACTGAGATATATGAGATTTATAAACATGCATATAGCGGTAAATAAGGAGGAACAACATGACAAAGGCTAAAAAGCAAGCGTATATTTGTTGAAAAATTTTAAATAATAACGAACGATGTTTTGGTGAACAAATTTCTGAATATATATTTCGTGATATTAAGAAAATTTCTCCTAATATTTGAATCACATGCATGCATGCATGCATCTTTGACGTTTTTAAATATAACTATAAGAATAGTATATGGTATATAATATAGAAATAGTATATAAAGCCAGAAAGACACGCGGCAACACCGTCCCTGTTATCTAAGTTTATCGAAAAAAACCTTACGGTAATGGCAGCAGAACATAATATTGATATTTATTAGCGGGGATTACTCGACTATCACCTATGTTGACAAAGGCGCACGCCTTCTGTTTTGTCCGCTATAATATCATGTTATTTTTCTGTTATTAAATATTTATCTATTGCACATAATTTTCAAGATAAATGTATTATTTACCCGTAATTATGTCTGGATCATGATTGAATATAATCATCGTTATGATTCCACAAAGAATCTAGATGTTGAGATGTAACGTCGAATAGTATTATAATTATTTTGATACTTCATATTATTTAAACTGATTCGCACGGAGATGCACGTCCTAATTGTTTGTCTACGCAGGTAACCTAGAGAGTCTGTGAAGTGTTAGGAATATATTATTTGACTGTCAGAAGTAGTGATGTAAATCAAGTGGCGAAGTGAAATATTGAGCTGAAACTATTGTTTGTTTTGACATTGCAGTTCATTATAGGGTATGGACGATGTTCAGGCATGGTCATAGAGAAAACATATTAGAATATACATGAAAGCTTGCTGGCATTGATTTGTCGGATGTGAATTTTATATTAATTAAGATAAAAGTATTTCTCTATTTTAATTTTCACAGGTAATACAAGAGCTCGGTAAAATTCGTTGTTTCCCAAGTTTTGAAGCTCGGCACGACTTCGCCACATTCCGTATCGTGACGTTATGTTATTGCCAATTACAACGCCTTTGTACTACTTTTCACATTTAGAAATATTTGTAAAATTTCCATGGCCAGAAAATTCGGACGTAATTAGCATTCTACTTCCGCCTAAATTTGCATATGGTGTCAAAATAAAGCTTCGTGTAACTTGCACAGTACTAAACGCTAAAAATACACCTTTAGGTAGGTCGATTATAATTTGCCTTAATTGCTCGTTGCAGAGCAAGTTAATCTTAATATTTTTATATAGTATTTCAAAATGTTTTATCAGTATTCGTCCTGCATTATCAAAACAAAGTTTTGGTCATTTATCACGTTGAATACCATATAAAACGAAAACCGTAATAGCGTAGAAATGAAATAAAAATGCAGAGCCGACATAAACCTTTACCAGAAAAATATTACCTCAGGATCTTTAATATGACACGAATTACAAGAAACAACCAGGGCAAATTGCAAAGATGCAATGATTTTCCTAAATTTTGCGAAATTTAAGAATGCGCAATATAATTTATAGTTCTGCAAAAGAATAATATTTGAACAGATATGCAAATTTGCTACGGCAATCAGCATATTTCATGTTCGCAATTTCTGGCCATGGTCATCTGTCACTATATATATTATATAATTATATATGTACGAGATCGTTCCAAACGAACATTTTACTGCGAAACTGTTCGTTTCTATACCTTCTTTCTCAGCTAATAAACGAGTTCCAATTACGATATCGTCGATACAAAATTAATGTAACGCAATGGACAGAGTCGCCTATAAGAAAATCTTAGCAACACAAAAGACACTCGCACGTCACAGAAATATTGCGAAATTAAACTGTATCTTACTATTTTACACTAGTGCATATAAAAGTAGGTATTTGACTATCCTTCTTCCACAAGTTTGACATTGAATATTTGCAACAGCAGCATTGTCTACATTGCCAAAACACACAATAGTTTCAGCTCCATATTTATTCTAGTTAAGCACTGTTTAGTTTGCACTCCCCGGGACATGCGATATGCGTGTAAATTGGGAAAATTTTGACGTATAAAAGTATCGTATGACTTGTTGATAATATTTGCGAGATAATATAATTATTGTTTATAAAATTGAAAGATAACTCTGGCCGGAGTGAACGATTGTTTAGGCGTCTTGTTAAGTTTAAATCACCGCGTTAAAAATTGAGATAACTATGTGTTCTTCCATATTGCAGACAATGCGTGCTAATATAGATTTTTATTGTAATTGAGAAAGCATAGTGAGTGCTCCCAAAGCCATGCAACTGGACTTAATTTGGTCTAATGATGTGAGACCGAAATCTCTTTGATTACTGCATGCTATATAATATACAGGAGCACAACTGCCTCCCTTGGTTTATGTATTTTTTCAAAGTTTTTCCGCCTGTTACCGTGTCGTCATCATTGGGGTAGATTAAGTTTTGCATTAAGATCTTTTAGAATTCATTAAAAATTAGTCTCCGAAGATAAGGTCATTTCAAGCTACAGGTGGTGAAAACTATGACGAAGGCGAAGTGAATACATAAGCGTCTTATAATCGAGGTTGTTAAGAACGGTTTTCTTAAGCTCGTTCTCGTATCCTGGTTTATGTGAATGATGTTGGCCACACGCAAACATAGTTTTCCTGTTGTGGGGTGGGGGGTTGTGCGCTATTGTTCCCACGGTATATAAGTATGAATATATGTTAATATACACCCCCCAATTAAGCGGTCTAGCTTCGGACCTGGGTTCATGTGATGATGTTTACCACACGCAAAGATAACATTCATGGTATGTTTATTGTTCAAACAAAATGTTTTCATGCAAGTGTCGAAGAAGGACTTTGTACATTGCTCTTGAGAAAATTGGAATTTATTTTATTTAAGTTGGTTCTATTGAAGCAATCAAATTATGATACAATAAAATTAGAGGAAAGGTTTCTTAATGCCGTTCGATGTTTCAATATCAGTAGTATAATGTTCTTTCCTTTTGAAGTTTTTTTTACGGAAAAGATTTTCAAAAATTTTACATGCATTACCAAGCAGCATTTTTCCTGCATGCATTTAAAGAAATACAACATAAAATTATGTGTTCGTGACCAGACATATTTTAATGAATCAAGAACAGAACGGGGACATTTTCAATGCAACTTTTATTAGTTTATTACTACAATTCTTAATAGTAATGTTTGAACAATCACAAGAACTATTACCAGGAAACAAACCTACGATATTTATCACTATTGTTTGTGTAATGCTCTAGTTAGGCCATAGGTAAGTATGAAATATGATCAGAAGTGTGGGATGCCATTTACTCAATATTCCAGGGCTCATCACTAGTTTGGTCGCAACCAACGAGCTTACATTTGAATTCCAACCTTGATTTCTTCAACTCGTCGCAAGTGATTTTGCCATCGCCGTTTTTGTCCAAATGCTTGAAAATGATATCCACGTTCTGTGATGACAAATTTGTGGCTTTCTTTAACTCTTCCTTGCTGATTGATCCATCTTTGTTGAGGTCGTACTCGTTGAAATCGCAGGGAAAACCAACTTCGACTTGGTTTTTGGGCAGGGCAGCGGATCGTTTACGGCCGCAGTAATGCCAGGCTGTGTGACAGAACCGCACATACGCGTAATGGAGATTATATGGGCAACACTGTGGATAAAAATACACTGTCCTTATGGAACAATGTGAGTTGTAGCATATACCAGCAGATCCCATGCCCACTGCAGCCAACACCAGCAAAATCACGATTGCAAGCTTCATCGTTTTTGTTTCTATACAAAGACACCAGAAGAAAATTTGAATTGTATCCAGAATAAATCATGGATAAAACGAAACATATTTATATTGGCCATATGGTACAAGCTTAACATTTTGCCCCCCCCGCCCAATTTTTTAATTACTTCCGCATGGCAGAATCACTAGCTATATGCCTTTAAATAAAAGCCGCATGAATGCACAGAGCGAAAATCGAATGAATAGAGGAAATTGCAGTTTTAATTAAAGTCCATTTTCAGGAGTTGTTTTCTTTTGAATCATCGGCAAATTAACTTACTTAGGTATGAAAACCACTGCACGCCTGCCTGTCACATGAAATATTGAATTAAAGAAGGCACGTTGTCTTCCTAGTATTTGTTTTTTTTTAGATTTTCAAATATGATAGATTTGCAGAATGAGCATTTAGGCATTTTCGATGCAACCCATCCCAAGCTACCAATAATACGAACAAGTTGCACTCTCTCTCCATTCTACACGGTGACGGATTGAATTGGAAAAGCAACGGGTAAAAGTTAAAATAATGTATAAAAAAGGGATTGAGGCAGGTTTATTAGTTTATATCGTAACTCTTTCTGCACGAAACCTGAAAATAAGATGGAATTAATGTTGTATAATAAACGTTAAAATTCCTACCGTAATCGTATGCCTTGAATGAGTCAAGATTTGATTTGAAATCTTCGATTTCTTGATTATCTTCTGTCTTCCAGATATTGTGATCAATTACGCGCCAGAACCACTGTTTTATTCTCTCGTGTGATATCATAACGGAAGGATGAAATGTGCATGTGACTTTAATTTGGCCAATCAGGTTTTTAGAATCAAAATTGATGGAAAACACAATAAAATTGTCTTCCTTCAGCTTGATCCTCAAAGTCCGTCATTTACGCTAATCGTGAGTAAACAGTGCCATCCATTTACAAAAAAGTTCAACTATAAGACTCCATTCAAAATCTGTCAAAATCTTGAAGTTTTGATTGCTGAAAGGGAATTGAGAGAATGTAAAATGTTTGGCAAAGTAACTTAACCATAATTTGCCCCCATTATGCACTATAGTTGAATTATGCAACAAAAAGGAGGAATGTGGAAGCGTTAATGATAAATAATAATAATAATATATTTTACACAACACATTTTTTCCCAAATATATAGTGAACTACGTATAAACAGCGGAATATTGTGCCTACGTAATGTAATGTAATGTTATAATTATAATGTTATATTTGGTATGATATTATTGAGTATTAAGGCGGATTTCCTCTTACAGCAAAATCGTTCGCCATCGAAATATTAGCATATTTTCTTTTGAATTTAAACAGCATTAATAAATTAGTGCGACTTGAGTGTTCTCAATTCAAAAGAAAATATGTAAATATTTCGCCAGCGAACGATTTCGCTGTAAGTGGAAATCCGCCTTTACGTGTAACTTTACTGTGGGGTAATTTAGTTGTTCACAGTTTCATTTCTTATAAATATCTGCAGCAATTTTTTACAAATAGCTCTAAACGAAAATATGCCCAAAATATGCTACACTCATAATTATAGGCACTGCTCTTGGTCAAATAATTTTGACAGCTTTATAAAAGATTCTTGTATGATGAAGATATTTGCGTAATGTTGTGATTCTATGAGATAAATTTGTAAAGAAGAGGTTCCTAGTGAGGGAACGGGGTTCAGATAGAATGGCACAAATCATTTTGCACAAATCTGCGCAAAATTGTGTCGCATTTATGTCAAACATCGATCGCCATATCCAGTACATTCTGTTTGTTCCTTGTCAATGACATTAAACATATTAAAATTGATCACAAGTCAAACACATGCCTTCCTTCGCACTAGTTTCAGCACATTATTTATTAAAGTACTCATTCATTTCCGTTTTCCGGTTTAAACCTCTTAATTGCGCCTAATCTGACCTTAAACACTTCTTCGTGTCTTTGAAATTTTCGCGTAAAGCGAAGGTCTCATGATCAAAACTGCATGCATGTCTTGCAGAATATTACATATGCATCAATAAATATCTTATGTTTTTACAGCAATGTTTTATATAGCAATTGTAGTATCATCTAAGTGTAATACGTATTTATGCTGAAAAAAAAACGAGATGTCTGAACGATTGATGAAAAATTCAAGAAATGTTAATGCGCAAATGGTTTAATTATTAATCTTCTCTTTTAGTGCACGACATTGGCGAAATTCCAAAGAAGCATATAGTAGGCTTTATGCCATCTGTCTTAACCTATGATGCCAACATATAACCAGGGAGCAGCGTGGTTGCGTCTTAAAAATTTAATAACTTAGCGCCAACCAAATGTTGTATAACCACTGCCTAAAATAGACACATTACCAGAAATTTGCGAGATGATAATTTGCATTTATACTAATTTGCATTTAACTTTCAGCATAATGGCCTTCAACTTTTACTACTATAAATACATATAGTAAATATACAAAACCTAAAAATGCCGTTTCCCTAGACCTTGACAATGTCCACTGTTTGCCAACCTCTGGGTCAATAGAACAGCCGTTTCCCAACGTTTTAATGATTGAATTACTTACCTTAGGTATTTCTACGTTCGGCCAAGTGATTGTGAACAAATGCGTATATAGCCTTCGTATTGTTCAAGTTCCTGATAAGACTGATAATATTTTCTAAAGTGATTCCAGTAAAAATCCCAGCCGTACAGAAAAGTTTATACACAAATACGGTTTATACGAAAGACAATATCTTTAACAATATTTTTTGGTATAATATTACACGTCAATTCATCAACTACCTGAATCGAAATATTCGAATCAATGTGGGCGATTTTATAAGTTCGTTGACGGAATACAGACAAAACTTTGAGTAATATATTTCTAAACTTGGCAGATTGCAGAAATGCCCAAGCTAAAAAATTCGGTCACCAAACCTAAACAGCTGCTCTACCGATCTAAAGGTCAGCAACAGTAGGCAAGGTCTAGAGCAACAGCATTTTTAAGTTTTGTATATTTACTATATATATTTTATAGTGAATGTTGAAGGCCATTATGCTGAAAGTTAAATGCTAATTAGTATACATGCAAATTATCATGTCGCAAATTTTTGGTAATGAAACACTTCTCGACGTTTCGACCTGGGGGCCTTTGTCAGAGAGTTCGTTTAGACTCACCAAACAGTCATATAATACTACAGTAAGCGAATAATAATACCATTTTTAACATCAATATACTTATATTACATTTCAGACCGATTCAGTGTAATATATATATACGATTCAGTGTACTATATGATAGAGATGATTTTTGACAGAAAATAACTTGGTAAATAAATATTAACCAACTAGGCGAATTATACTTACCATTGCATTTCCTATTTAAAAAGCCAGAGATTACATTTTTTCGTATAGCGTTGTGGCCATTTTTAACGGGCTGTGAAATAATATGATTACGTCTGTTTAATTTAACATTCATGTAATTGTCAGAAGTGTCAATATTCAATCACTATAGATAAGTCAAATATTGAACTGAAAGGATTGGGCATGTGATTGTATGGCATTGAAAATAATGCTGAATTTAGAGTATGTTTAAAATTATATACAAAGCAAAGATATATATGTTAAATTTGTCGCCCTAATGTGACTTCCACAAAGCTTATATCATTAAATTTTGGAAAATTTTGATGTGAACTGAAGCATCTATCTTTGTGGTGTAGGATTTCGGTTTGTTAGGCCACTTTTCATGCGTCGGTAGACGGTATATCCTGAATTGTTTGAACTCGTTTCTAGGAGAGAATTAAGATACACGGACGAAAAATTTCGTAGAAAAAAGGTTTGTACGGAAAGAACTTTCTTAATGTTATTATGGGTAAGGATGAAATGTCTAATCCCGTGTTCTGACACTGAGAATAACGAGATCTTTTCACGTCTGTGTTGGTAAATGCATATATAATTTTTTATTTGGTGTACTTCTTAACTTATGATCGATAGAATGGCAACGTGACAACAGTAGCTAGAGCCGATTTTATAAGGCAGAATTGAACCATCGCACCTAGATATATGAGATTTATAAACATGCATATATATAGCGGTAAATAAGGAGGAACAATATGACAAAAGCTGAAAAGCAAGCGTACGCGTATATTTGTTGACAAATTTGAAATAATAACGAACGATGTTTTGGTCAAAAAATTCTTGAATATATTTCGTGATATTAAGATAATTTCTCCTAATATTTGAATCACATGCATGCATGCATCTTCGACGTTTTTAATAACAAAAGATAACATAATATTATAGCGGACAAAACAGAAGGCGTGCGCCTTTGTCCACATAAGTGATGGTCGAGTAATCCGCTAATACTGATATCAATATTATGTTGTGCTATACCATAACCGTAAAGTTTTTTTCGATAAACTTAGATAACAGGGACGGTGATGCCGTGTCTTTTTGGTTATATTATATAATACTATTTCTATATATTATACTACTATTTCTGGTTATATATATCTATTGTATAAAATTTTCAAGATATAGGTATATTATTTCCCCGTAATTATGTCTGGATCATGATTGAATATGATCATCGTTATGATTCCACAAAGAATCTAGATGTTAAGATGCAACGTCGAATAGTATTAAAATTATTTTGATACTTCATAATTATTATGTAAATTTGCAAGGAGATACACGTCTTGTTTATCTACGCGCGTAACCTCGAGAGACTGTGAAGTGTTAGAAATATATTATTTGACTGTCAGAAGTGGTGAAGTTGTAAATCAAGTGGTGAAGTGAAATATTGAGCTGAAACTATTCTTTGTTTTGACATTGCAGTTCATTATAGGGTATGGAAGATGTTCAGGCATGGTCATAGGGAAAACATATTGATTTGTCGGATGTAAATTTTACATTAATTAAGATTCGCCACATTCCGTATCTTGACGTTATGTTATTGCCAATTACAACGCCTTTGTACTACTTTTAACATTTAAAAATATTTGTAAAATTTCGTCATCTGTCACTATATATATGCACGAGATCGTTTCAAACGAACTTTTTACTGCGAAACTCTGTGTTCGTTTCTATACCTTCCTTCTCAGTTAATAAACGAGCCGATATAAACGAGTCCAATTACGATATCGTCGATACAAAATGTAACGCAATGGACAGAGTCGCCCATAAAAAAATCTTATGCAATACAAAAGACACTCGCACATCACACAAATATTGCGAAATTAAACTGTATCTTACTATTTTACACTAGTGCATATAAAAGTATATTTGACTATCCTTCTTCTATAAGTTTGACATTGAATATTTGCAATGGCAGCATTGTCTACATTGCCAAAACACACAATAGTTTCAGCTCCATATTTATTCTAGTTAAGCACTGTTTAGTTTAAACTCCCCGGGATATGTGATATGCATGTGAAATTGGGGAAATTGTGACGTATATAAAAATATCGTATGATTTGTTGATAATATTTGCGAGATAATAATTATTGTTTATAAAATTGGGAGATAACTCAAGTCGAAGTGAACGATTTAGTAGGCGTCTTGTTAAGATTAAATCACCGGTTAAAAATTGCAATCATTATGTGTTCTGCCATATTGCAGACAATGCGTGCTAATATAGATTTTTATTGTAATTGAGAAAGCATATAGTAAGAGCTACCAAAGTGCAAAGGACTGCATGGACTTAATTTTGTCTAATAATGTGGGTTCCTGTCTTTAAGGCTTAAATTTCTTTGATTATACTACATACTAATAATTATACAAAAGCTCAACAGCGTTCCCTTGCATG